AAAATATTAATTCAAAGATTATGAAATAAAATATAAAACATTACACTTATCAATCAATAAAATCCTCGTACAAATTTAATTCCGAAAAAATGTAAAGATAAATCAAAATACAACCCAACGATACAAATAATCTGATTAAACAAATATAACCAAACCAAAATGCCACAAACAACATTAAAACATAAATCAATGATTGGCCCCAGGACTGGGTCCGGAGTTCATAATTTTCACCAGACTCTCATCATCTGTTAACCTGTGTCCTCTTCCTCTCGGACTCGGCCCTCCCGTCTTGACGGCGGCGACAGTATTTCCGATTGGATTCTGGAAACTCGGAGGCTTAGCAGTAGTGAGGGGGCGAGCTTCATCTGGGCGAATAAAGAGAATGGAGATGATGAAGAAGAACGCAAGAGACATATGAACTCTAGCCGCCATTTCGATAAGTACGATAATATCTTCTACTTCTGTAATTTAACGAACGTGTTTTCAAGAATGTTTTTGTGCATCAAAGGTGAGATTTCGGGTCTGTATTTATAGTCTGCAACTCTGCATGCATGCATGCATGGTGGAGATGGAAATGCGGGAAAAGTATTGAAGGAAGGTGCAGGTGAATATGCAAGCAAAGGTGAAAGCTTTTGAAAATTCTTTGACAACATATATAAAAGAATATATGTTGGTCGTTTTTAGAAGCAGTAGAATCTTAATTTGACTTTGGGTTGTTTTGATAGATCATAGGATAGATGCGTAATTGTCGATGTAAGCTTACCAAAATTTGCAGTTTCTGAGAATTAACCACGCCTTAATTGTAGTTATGTTAATTAATGATACCTGCCCAAGTGCCCAACTTTACATTAAAAAATTCACATGGTGGACTGAAAGGTGATCAATGACGAAGCATATATATATGCAATGGCTTTGTTTAATCTTCTCTTTGGAGTTTGGCCCAATTAAGTTAACCAACATTATATTCTCGATCTGCTACATCACGCTGTTCTCTTCGGCAAATTATTGTATGGACCATTGTCCACACAATATTATGTGGACCATAATAAAATGTACATTTTTAATATATTAAATGTACATTGTTTTTATACTGAATGTACATTATACAATATAATGTACACTCTGAACAAAAATAATGTACATCCCCTGAATATAATGTACATTATTTTACAGTAGATAAAATATGGTCCACACAACTTGTGTGGACCATGGTCCATACAATAATGATTGGTTCTCTCCCCAGGCAAAGCACATTGGGCTCTTTTGATAACGTAACAATACGATTCCACCAATTTGACTTGTTTATCACGTTAACTCTTATACCGCAAATTATGCCATGGAATCGTGTTCACCGAGAATGGTGAACACAAGGCAAAACGACGTCGTTTTTAGGTTTAAAAAAAAAAATTTCGCGGATGTGGAGTTAACGGCGCGCGTTTGATCAAATTATGAATTTTCTGTTATGAGATTATGAATTTTCCTAACAGAAAATTCATAATCGCATAACAGAAAATTCATAATCTCACAACTGAAAATTCATAATCTCATAACAGAAAATTCATAATCTTATGGTTCCAAAGTGAATGTGCAGGCATGGATTCATAATTTATTAATGTCCTTAATTTCGGACGGGAATATGTAGGCATGGTTCCAAAGTGAATGTGCAAGCATGAATTCATAATTTATGAATGTCCGAAATTATGAATGTAATGAAAATTCATAATCTCATAACAGAAAATTCATAATCGCATAACAGAAAATTCATAATCTCATAACTGAAAATTCATAATCATATAACAGAAAATTCATAATCTTATAACAGAAAATTCATAATCTCATGGTTCCAAAGTGAATGTGTAGGCATGGTTCCAAAGTGAATGTGCAGGCATGGATTCATAATTTATGAATGTCCGTGATTTCGGACGGGAATGTGTAGGCATGGTTCCAAAGTGAATGTGCAGGCATGAATTCATAATTTATGAATGTCCGAAATCTTTGTTCACCTCAAATTAAAGTGAAACCGCAAAATGTGAAAATAAAGAAGAAAAGTCACGCAATTAATTAAAAAAAAAAAAAAAAAAAAAAAAAAAAAGAGATAACGGTGTACTAACACCGTTAGAACCGTGTTCACCATCAACCGTGTTCACCATGAATGGTGAACACAGTTCCATGGCATAACGTCTGCTCTTATACGGTGTTGACACGTATTCTTTTTATTTTATTTTTTAAAACAAATGTTTTTTTATTAAAAATTAAAAATATTATTTATTATAAATAAATAAATAAATAATTTAAATATTTAAAAAAAAAAAAAAAAAAAAAAAAAAAAAAAAAAAAGAACAGCCACCGGCTGTCCAGCAGGACGGCCACGGCCGTCTTCTAAATCTGGAACGAGATCTTTGACCATGGCCGCCGCCCTCGTTCCAGACGGAGGCGAATCGTTCCCCTCCGTCTGGAACGAGGGCAGCGGCCATGCTCTCCAGATCTAGGAGACGGCCATGACCGTCTTCCTTCGTCGGTCATGGCTGTCTTCCTTAGACGGTCGTGGCCGTCCTACGGCTATCCGTGAAGAAGACAGCCACTGGCTGTTCGCTTTTTTTTTAAAAAAAAAATAATAATTGTTTAGTTTATTTATTTATTTATAATAAATAATTATTTCTAATTTTTAATAAATAAAAAAAAACATTTTGTTTTAAAAAATAAAATAAAAAAGATATATGTCAACACAACATCGATTTAATCTGATAAACAAGTCAAATTGGACTTAATTGAACAATTTTACCTGTTTAGGAGACTTGAATAGAGCTTTTTTCACTTAGGTGACCCAATTGCACTATCCACTCGACTCAATTTGACACTTTTTCCAAAGAAAATAGTGATTGTGGAAGAACAACCATGTCCACAATAGTTGAATTGAGCTACTAAACTGGTTTAATTCCTTGTGATTCTTCATTTCTTTGCCTAGGGTCACAAGTCAAAATTTAGCCAAACGCACACCCTTCACTACAAGAAAAATTGCAAATTGCGATAGAAAAATGTCGTAATCTTAAGGCAACAGAACAAGGCGTCGCAAATATTCCCGTCGCAATTGGGCTTCCATCGCCATATCTGAAACGAATACTCTATCACCATATAATTTTTTCCGTCACAAAATACAACGATGATATTGTTTTCTATCGTGATTCCATCTTTTTTTTTAATTATTTTTTTAAAATTAATTTAAAATTATTATTTTTAAATAGTAACATGAACTTTTAAAATATTAATATAAAATTACAATAATATACTAAAACACTATTAATTCTAAAATATTATCAATCCACATTAAATTGAAATAATAATACATTATCAATCTGTAAGTAATAATAGTCAAGTCTAAACAATAATATAATACTCCGTAGTCTTCACAAACAATCTACATTAAAATCAATTGATTTGGGATGGAGGTGATGATGAAGTAGGAACTCTCCACCCATCAATCCACATTTGTTTCTCTTCAACACCCATCAATCAATCTCTAATAACAGCAAACCCGATCTTGCAAATAGATTGTGTTTGATGATTTTCATAATCAGTACCTGCAATCAGCATAGCAAGTTAAAACTAGTGATTCTTTTACACTCATCAATCTCCAATAATTTGAGCATCCACAAGATATTCCATTACCAAAATGTATTAAGCAATTATACAGAAGCAATTGTGATTAATTGGAAGCATTAGGTGATGAGAATCACATTGAAAAGGAAACTGAGATATAACATCTCTCTGGAATAAGTTGTATTAGTCTTACTCAAAATAAACATCATTATAAATACACAATCCAGAATACATGTGGTAAGAGCAAAAGACAAATGCCAAAATATTGGTCAGAGGAGATATTGCTGACTAATTAATAGTGTATAACGCAATAATACTTTCATGTTTCTGACCATTTCAAATTTCATCTTAAATCTCATTATAAACAGGCATTGTTGCTTATGAAGATAACAAAGCAATTGCCAAAATGTAGTCTTGTGAGGAACAAGCCGCTCAACAATGTTATAAACGGCAATGTTTGAAGCAGCACAAGCAAGAATTTTCGATCCCCGTTTCACTTTCTTGTAAGATGATCTCAACAGTGTTTTAATCTGTAAGTATAGTCTAAAAGATATTATCTTCATTTTCAAAGAAATATGTCATTGCAAAGGCTCTTTCATCGAAGGATGTATAAATCAAAGTGAACTACAAGCTTCCTAATTTGTACTTTACCTCATTTGCCACTTTCTCAAGACATAATGGACCATTTAATCCATCTTCTGGAATATCATCAAAAGCAACAGTGATAGATGAATCCTGTTCCATACAAAATGCAATAATGAATAGCAAAGTAATGTACCTCTGAATTAGGTTCAGAGTAAAGTAATATCCCTCTTCTGAATGTACCTATTCTCATTTGAAAGCTTTCGCATTAGGTTCACAGGAATGGTTCATGCAACTCTCTAAGGGGAAAAATGCAGTACCTAACACCAAAATTACAATAATCTGTCAAACTTCATAATCAACAAATTCCATAATAAAAAAAGATAATTTGGGAAATTAGGGCGATGGAATTAAAAAACAAAAAAACGACGTCGTGGAGGGAAATAAAATTAAACAAAAAACATTGCGACAGAATCAATTCCGTCGCTATAATTACTCCATGTAAAAAAAAAAAAAAAAAAAATGCTTCTTTTCACGACGCAACAGAATCCAGAAAGTAAATCCGTCTGCTATCTAAACGACGTAACTTAATTCCGTCGCAATTCTGTCGTGAATATTTTACCGCAAAGATTTCGAGGGTTTTATTCCAAAAATTGCGACGAAAATAATTTTCGTCGCTGTTTCCGTCGTGAATTTGCAACGGAAGCTATTATGTCACAATATCCGTTGCGACGGAATTTTCTTGTAGTACTTGGGTAGTAGTTGTGGGTTTCCCTTGTCACCCAAAACAACAACAACAACAACAACAACAACAACAAAAAAAAAAAAAAGCACCACTGCCCGTCATGTTCACAAAAGTTTAGTATGTGAAAACCAAAAGAGATGTATGATGGTGATGATGATATTGTGTTATATACATAATACACCTGCTTATATAGGAATATAATGGGTCTAACTAATAAGCTGCGTTACAACTAGGGCTATGCTAGAGTTTCCATTTTCTATATTTCAACAATCACAAAATTCAATTCCCACTTTCCTGGGTGGCCATTGGAGAAGTCTTAACTGTTACATCTAACTAATGAGCTTCCTTAACGAGATAATCGTTTAACATAAAGCGTTTTGAGTATATTATACATACAAAATCCATGCAAGTATGCAACAGCTCACAGCATAACTAGATACTGACCTGTTAACATCTTTATGCTGATGTATCTATCCGTTCATGTAACAGAACGCACTGTTCATTTGATCAACAAGTCAGTGTAGCTGTGGAATAGCAATACCACTTCTCGGGGCTGAATTTTCGTTTCCGCTGTGGCCAAAGTGCTTTCCTTCTAAAATATCAAGAATGATGGATAATCATACTACAAAAATATTATAAGCACGTAATAAAGTAAAGACGTAAAATAAAATATTAAAAGGAAAAGGCATAAGCTGTAATGGAAGCGGTTACCAGTTCGATGCCTTGATCTTCAACACGCAAGGGTATTATAATGCGGGCTGCACCCGGTAATGCTTTTGCAGCTAGTACACAAAGCACCTTCCAAATTCAACTGAACTTAATAGCAATGTTGAAAAAATCGCTAGGCGCCTGGGGACTGCCTAGGGCGCCTGGGCGGGCACCTAGAACGCCTAGGAGGCCAACCGCCTAGGTGTGATTTTTGCAACACTGGTTAATAGCAAATGCTACATCATCGTTGAACTAGCTTCTTCGAGTTTTTAGCCTTTCATCTTTGAATGAGTCACCTGAAAGTCTGAAACAATGCCTTCCTTCTTCATTTGGTCAAACAGTTCATCAGCCCTACCCACTTGTCCAAGTCTGAAGTATGCACATATCAGAACAGTATATGTAACCTTATCGGGAGACAAATTCTGCCTTCTCATCTCATCTAGCAACCAGTTGGCCATATCGATACGATTGACCTTGCAAAACCCATCTATTAGACAAGTATAAGTAACACGAGAAGGCAAGATTTCTCTTTGTTTCATGTCTTCAAACAATCTCAATGCTTTGTTCATATCTCCAACTCTACAAAATCCAGCTATAATAGATGTGTAAGAGATATTGTCAAGATTCAATCCCTCACAGCCCATTTCCCTAAAAAGTTTATAGGCTTCGTTCACCTTGCCCATTGTGCATAACATATTAATGATAATGGTATACAGGGTTGTGTCCGGATTAATCCCAACTTTTACCATTCTTTTGTACAGCAGAAAGGCCTTCTGGAAGTTTAACTGTTTAGCAAAACCGTTAATAAGAGTGCTATAACTTACAAGACCAGGTAATATATTCATCTTAAGCATTAACGGTATTACTTCCAGTGCCTTCTCTGAGTTACCTTCTTTGCACAGCCCTTTAATTACTGCATTGTATGTATGCAGATTAGGAATAAAACCTTGGCCTCTTGTCTCATCAATGAGCTGCAAAGCTTCCATTATATGCCCTTCACTACAGTAGCCATTAATAATAGAATTGAGGGTAAAGATATTGGGGGTCAAGTTATTGCCGATCATCTCTTTCAAGAGCTTATGAGCGGAGACCAAATCACCCTGCAAGCAAAGTCCATTTATTAAGATGTGGTAAGCACCCCGGTCATGCTTATATCCAGATTCCTCTAACTTATAAAACAGATTAATTGATTTTTCCTTCCGTCCCGTTCTGCAAAGACCGTTTAAGAGTGAACTATAGCTAACAAGGGATGGTTTTATGTTACGAGCTTCCATCTCCTCTATTAAACAAAGACCTTTCTCAACATTCCCGCATTTGGAAAACCCATCAATCAAAATACTATAGCTGTATACATCTGGTGGGACTCCGCAACTCTTCATTTCTTCAAAAAGATTCATAGCTTCAACTACTTCACCCTTTTCACAGAATCCATGAATAACAGCATTATAGCAATAAGAGTTTAGTAGTTGATTTTTATGCCTCAAGTCTCGAATGAAATTCAAAGCAGAGCCAACACAACCAGCTCTACATAGTCCATGGATATAAACACTATATGTTACAACAGATGGGCTAATCCCTCTAGTAATCATTTCCTCCATAATATTGGCCACTTCTTCTATATCCACCTTATGCTGGGTGCAATAGAAGCTCACCATAATCGTGTATGTATAAACAGTGGGTGACGGTCCAAACTGCTTCATCGCTTCAAACAAAGATTGAAGAAGTTCCCTCCTGCTCGCTTCTGCTAAGCACTTCAGTAAGAAGTTGCACGAGAAATTACTTAATTTAAGCCCAAGTTTCCGAGCATGGAAATATGCATTGACTCCATTTTCAAGCATTTTATTCGCAGCAAAAACCTTGATAAGAACATCAACCACCGAAGCTGATATTTTTGCATCAGTGGATGAATTCAGCAAATGCGGGAGTAGCTTATCTAATTCAAACTCAGCCTTCTGGAAATAGAAAACAATATCTTTAAGCAAGGCATACATTTCCATACGCATTCCAACATATGCAAAAATATGCACAAGCATCTTAAAGGCGGTGATCGATTGGAAAAGCCCATACCTTTCCATTGCTCTTTCAAAACTAATCTCTCTAGCTGCCTCCCAGCTCAATGATTTGTACACCCTCACAACAACAGAACATAGTCCCAGCTCCTTGCACCTATGCAGTCTTTTTCTCGAAATAATCGGAACAATTGGCTCATATTCCCCACTGCTTTCACCATTTGAACAAGAATCAGAATCATCCAATACTAAAGCGGACGAAACACCACCAAAATTTCGACAATAGCCTCTTTCTACAACGATTTTCTTCCTTCCGAAAACACCCGATTCTCGCAACCCCACAAATATGAAATAAAAAGAGGATCTTTTTGGAAATATAGACAGACCCATAAAGCAAAACCTTGAGCTATAGAGAAATTATTGTGATTGCACAACAGAACAGGCCTCCCCATAGCAGCCCACATCACATCATACCCAAATCACTGTTCAGTAAGAATGAGGATTGAAATGAGCAACATAACAAAAGAATAATCAGAAAATTTATTTTAAAAAAGAGGGAAAAAAAACGGAAAAAGATTACAGAGAGCGCCGTACTTCTCCGCCACTTCGAGCTGCTCTTCCCCGGTGGACTGTTAGCTTTCTACCAGTTAGAAGTGGCAGTGCCCAGCTCCGGAGCTTCAATTGACATCGTTTTTGTGTTCGTAGAGTGAGATAAGCGGTAAAGGAGAAAAATCCGCGCTTTTAGAGTTTAGACAAACCCTCCCTGAATCCCTACTATATAACTATATAAGTACTATTGTTGTTAGAGGAAGAAAGAGTGAATTCCATTTTTTGTCCTATTGTTAAAAGAGGCGTTTCTAATTCTAGTTTACCTTAATTTTTTTTGTCACATTATAATCACTATTATTGAATGTGTTTCATTTTTAGTCCCACCGTTAGTATTTTTATCAAGAGGTCGTGTAATTTAGGGGTATTTTGACCTTTCTTCTCATCCAAGACTATGTTTAACTAAAGAAATGAGAACATTAAACCTAAAACCTAAGAAACCTCGTCGGCCCATGTTGGAACGAACGAAACGATGTAGCTTTGGCTTCCCATTCTCGTTGTTCGAAGAGCCGTCTTCGAATATCGGAGGAGGACGACGAAACTCCTAGATTAAAAGAGAAGAGACAAACATAAAAGACCAAAATACCCTTTGATTATACGGCCTCTTGACGAAAATATTAACGGTGGACTAAAAGTGGAACACATTCAATAACAGTGGTTGCAAAGTGGCAAAAAAAATTAAAGTGGACTGAAATTGGAAACGCCTCTATAACAGTAGGACCAAAAATGAAATTCACTCAAAAAAAAAAAAAAAAGTAGTATTGTTATTATGTTATGATATTAAAAACTAGTCTTATTCAATTTTAAGTAGAGGAAATTTCAATTTTGGTATTATGACTAGGGGTCTTGTTATTTTCAGTCACTAATTTTTAAAAGTGTCAATTTAGTACCTTAATTATGTAATTTTTGTTAATTTTGATTATTCTGATCAAATTGTCGGACAAATTTTGCCAAAAAATTTTAATTGATCAAATAATAAGGGTATTTTAGTCATTTTACTCTCCTTCTTTATTTTCCGACGAGTCCTTCCATTTTCTCCAATTCTGGTAACGAGACTGGTACTACACGAAATAAACCCAAAATTTCCACCAAACACTTTTGTGAGCCCGAGCTCTGATATGAACACGAACACCCACCCACTTTGATACGCTTCTATTCCATATTTCTGCACTTCTTCCACTGAAATTCCAATCCGATGACGGAGAAATGCGGTCGTCAAGGCCCGATTCGAACTGAAATGCAGTCCAACTCGCTGCATTTCCCTCTGATTCCACTTACGTTGCTTAATGGTGGTGAATTGAGCAAAGGCGGGGTTGAGCTTTTCAAGTATTTGTTCTTGGGCTCCCTACTCTTCTCATCCACAGGCGGTACTGCTGGCGGCATGGATTTGTCTAAGGTTGGAGAGAAGATCTTCAGTTCTGTTCACTTCGCCCGATCTCTTGGCCTTCTTCCTGCTTCTCCTTCCGATCGCCCTGATGTAATTTGATTCATGTACTCGGCTACATTTCAGCTCTTAATTACACTTTTTAAAAAAAAAATATTTTATTACATGGTCGGTCGGTGTTCTAGTGGTATTACTGGATTCTAGCTAAGAATCAACAGACGGTGTTATTTTGATTTTGACTGTGGTTTTTTATCCGGTATAGGAAGCCTTGCGGAGTTAAGAGAGGATGTTGCCGAAAATGGAGAAAAGGCGATCGCCGAAAATGGAGAAAGGGGAACCACTCGTCGGAGAAGAAAGAAAGGGAGTAAAATAACTAAAATATCCTCATTATTTGACCAATTAAAATTTTTCGGTGAAATTTGACCGACAATTTAGCCGGAGTGACCAAAATTAACAAAAATTGCATAGCCAAGGTACTAAATTGACACCTTCAAATGTCAGGGATTGAAATTAACAAGACCCCTATAGTCATAGGACTAAAATTGAAATTTCCTCATAAGTATAAATATAGTATGTAAAACTTATTCATTTTAAAAAGTTTATTTATGTAAGTACTATGTTGATTTTACAATGAATTTCTCCTTTTTTTATTTTATTTTTTATATATATGTAGAGTCCGGTTATAATTAAGGTGTGGTTCAATTATAATCTTTTTTTTTTTTTCTATTTTCTGTCTTGGTGTGATTTTATTATAAGATTGTCCTGATGTAGACTTTGTTAGATGTTGTGCGCGAGATTGAGCAAGACGCTGGTTTAATTGGTTTAGGACTTTACTAGAAATCAGTTGAAAAATATTATTACTAAAAATCAGAGGTTACCTAAAGTTATAAACCAATTAAATGGTTGAAACCGAAAAAATAATAAAAGAAAAATATGAAGAGACAAAAATGTCTTTACTAAAAATAGAAAAAAGTAATGAAAATGAATAAAAATGTCCAAAAAGTAATAGTTTAGGGATATTAAATGGCAAAAATGATAATCTGAGACTAATTTGGAATTGTCATCAAAGACAAGGGACTTCTGGTGAAATTAATTCTAATATTAATATAATAATGATAATGAGGGTAAAGTGATAATTTACAATGAAATTGCAATTCCTAGGGGACCTTTAAGAATTGCAATTCCATGATTAGAGGGGATTGCAATTTCATAGAATTACACTGATGCATCCATTAATTACCCCCGAAGCTTAAGATCAAATTAAAGTGATGCATCCATTAATTACCCTCAAAATATGCTACTCTGAAAGTTAAAACCCAGATTATTTAACTCATTAATTGTGAAAGGACAAAATTATCCTAGAAAAAATGGAATGAGATGATCAATTTTAACGAAACGACTATGGATAACTAAAAAATAAAAAATAAAAAGACTACAAATGGTTGATTTAAAAATTGAGGGCTAAAAATGACAGTGCCACCAACATCGGAGGACGTCAACTGGTATTTACTTCTCAGTGTTACTATCCCCTATAGTTTAGACCATCTTTACAAATTTAAATTTAAATAAATATATGTTATAATTTCATTTTTCGTATTATGTTAGAATAATTTGATTTTATTCGAATTTATTATTTATTATTTATTGTTTATAAAGGTGTGCAAAATTCGCTGAAAGTGTAGGTTAACTGACTTTACCGAAAAATTTATGTTAACCGTTCTTTAAGCGAAAAACATTGGTTGATTATTGTTAAATGATTTATAAAATTTCGATTAACAATTAACTGTATACAGTTAGATTTCATAATTTATTGTATATAGTTTGAATTATTTAAATTAGTCCGAGCCTCGGTGGAAACGTTATTGATTCTTTGTGCTTCATCAGGTTGAGAACGTATGTTTGAACAGATACTACAATGTAATACAATCAGTAGCATTCAAAAAAATGTAAAATTTTCAAATATCATTTAATATCTTTTTTTTTTTTTGGAGTATTACCGACTATGTTATAGTGTAGTATATGTTCATAACTATCTCATGTGATATCTTGTACTCAGATGACATGTATTGACTCTCCCATAGATTGACAGATACTACATGTAATAGAGTCAATAGCTTTCAAAAAAAAAAAATATCATTTCAAAATGAATTTCTTGTATATGTAAGTATTCTCATTCCCTTATAATAAAAAATAAAAAATAAAAAAATAAAAAGGTCGAAATACTAATTTTCTTAAATACGAGTAGTTATACAGGTTGTTTAAACTTTATTCCTTAAAATAATTATAATTGCAATAAAGTCCCCCATCACCGGCTTCAAGCCACCGTCGTCGCCGATCAAGTTTCAGGCGACTGAAACTACGGTGGATGTAAAGATCTGTTGCTTTTTTAGACATCAATAATTATCAATTAATCAGAAGCAGATCTCAACTTACTATAACCGAGAGATCATACGGTGTACAATACAGGTGAAAGCAAGAACAGTCGGAGAAATTATAATAAGAATTATATAAACGGAAAAGCAAATAAATTCGACTAAATCGGTGATCGAGTTTCATGTTCCTTTGCTTCGATTATTGAAATTCATCTGCGCGAAGTACTGGATGGAGAAGAGAGAGAGCGACAGATTCATTTCGTCCTTTCCCAACCGCTTTTTACTGAGCGCGGATTTCGACGGCGCCGGGGGCAGGCGAGGCCAGGCGGACGACGGAGGCGGCGGAGGAGACGGCGACGATGAGATCTTCACTAGCGGCCAGAGGTGGAGCGAGTAGAGGCGCCGGAATCCGCCGAGCGCGAGCACCACCGCCCGGAACTGCTGCTGCTGCTGCTGGTAGTGGCCGCGCGATCCGTCCTTGTTGCACATCACCTCCCACAACCGCTCGTCCTGCGCCGTCCGGTTCCACTGCTTGCTAACGCACGCCGCCCACGCTAACGTGCGCGCGTCGACGTGCTTCAGCACCTCGTACAGCAAGTTCTCGTCCATCAACACATCTTCCGCCGCCGTCGACGCCTTCTCCGATCCGTCTCCGTCTCCCTCGATCTTCCCCTTCTTCCTCCGCTCCAGATCGCCGCCGCCGTTATCCCCTGAAACCGAACGCTTCATCGCCACAAATGAACAAATCTAGAGAGCGATTTCTGCAATTCCGACGCTGCAATAATAATTTGAATCACAGAATTTAGGGATTGTGGATCCAGAAATGCACAGCACATGAAAATGGGGTTTCTTTATCTTCATCGATGACGACAAGGCACCGGATGATGGTAGATGTTGGAAGTTGGGGTTAATTAAATGACAAGAATGTCCATTTCTGTTGACGTTACTATAATTTTATTTAATCAAATTTATATTTAGTTATATATTGTTCTTTTTTTTTTTTTTTTTGATGGACAAGGAGGGGTACTCCGAAAAAAGAGAGAGCTAACTGCTACTTCTTCTAGGCCAGCTCGCCCGGAGACGGTCATGATCAACAAGATCTTCCAAGATGGGAGGGCACCGCTCAAGTTTGCGCCAGTGCACATTTAGATTCGCACCCATATTGGCAAGGGCATCGGCACAAACATTCTGCTCGCGATAGATATTCCGGATGGAGGCTTTCCAGTTTTTGTTCATCCACATGTTTATATCTTCAACATAGCCGCTCATTGGTCCTCTTAACTCAGTGCCATTTGATATCCAGTTCGTTACCTGCTTAGCATCAGACTGAACTTCGATGTCTCTAATTCCATACTCCCAGACCCATTTTAAACCTCTGGAAATGGCTTCAGCTTCCACCAGAGTTGCATCGCTATGGTTGGATTTGTCAATAAAACCTCCCATCCACTCGCCAAGGGCATTCCTGAGGATGCCGCCATAACCTGCCTTTTGAGATGAAATTTTTACACTTGCATCTACATTTAGCGTCCACTCATGGTTATTGGAGTGATTTCAATGGGGGTTGACAGAGTTGCGCATATGGATGTTTGAGCTATCCCTTTGCTTACGGTCAGACGCATAATTGATTTCCTTTTGCCGCTTCCAGTAGTGTAACAATCTTTCTACTAGGACTAGTTTCTTCTCCCTTGAATACACCATTGTTGCGCCACCTCCATATCCACCATAAACTGACAGCAAACATGGTAGGTCGATCAATATCATCATTATTTATTCTGCTAGGTTTGATATTGCTTTCGATCCAAGCCTTGAAACTGGGCAGTTGGGTGTTCCAGCTCCCTGTCGTTCCTGAGCAGTTAGTTATATATTGTTAATGATTAATATTTAAAAAAAATTATAATAGTATCTGAATATTTTGTAATACTTCCTTCCGTGGTTTCGTCACATTTTATCTGTCTTATTTACTATTCATTAGTCAAATTAATTCTTTTTTCTTTGTTTATTTCTATTAACATTTTCTTATAGTTTTTAAATTTGATTTTTTAGTGTATTTAATAGTTCTTTTAATGTAATTTTTAAATATATAAATTTTGAATATTAATTCTAAACTTAATATTGTAAAAAATTAAATTGTAAATAATTCAAATCAACCCTCGTTAAACGAGTCTAACATATAAAATGTGACTGAGGGAGTAACAATTTATTAATTATATAATAATTATATTTAATACTCTCTCCGTCCCATTATGTTGGTCTGGTTCGGGTTAACGAGGCTTGACTGAAATTATTTTTAATTCAAATTTTTATAATATTAAATTTATATATTTAGAAACTACACTATTAAACACACACACACACACACACACACACACACACACACAAAAAAAAAGAAGAAATTAAAGTAGTTAAAATTTATTTTAAAAAATAAGTATTGAAAAAAGAGTTGGTTTGACAAATAAATGATAAACATGATAGATAAAATGGAATAGAGAAAAATAAATAAATAGTAAGTTAAATGTATTCCTTATAATAACAAAAGGAACAAAAAAATTATGAGAAAGGAGTAGAAGATCAGAAAGTTTTTGTTTGTTGACGTTTTACAAGGACGCACAACTAAAAGAAGAAAAGTGGTTTGAGTTGATTAAACTGTTAAAGTAACTAGATCAAATTGTTAGAACCTACATTAACGAAGTTATTTTTGTTCAAAATTTTGTTTGATGTAGTAACGTTAAATGTCGATTCAACTGAATTTCCAAAAGGTTGAATTCATAACCCTTAGGGGTGGTTTGGTTCATGGAATGTCAGATTACCTTAGGGAATGTTAGATTACTGGAAATGTTAGATTCCTGTGTTTGGTTAAAATTGGGGTATGTAATATAATCATGTTTGGTTTAGGGTTATCTTTTATACACACTATAATATCCTTAACATATTTTCATACATTTTAATAAATTTAAAAATTAAAATAAATAAATAAGATAACGGTATCATATATAATTACATGATTTTAAAATATTAACTAAAATCTTGAACTTGAGAAACAAAATTATTTTATATGCTAACATAACATAATAAAAATATAAATATATATAATTACAAAAATAATTATATATATAATAAACTAACATAACCAAGGTTATCTTACATTACCTAAGATTTTGAAGGGAATCACATTCCCTTCAAAATCCTATGTGGAGGGAATGTGACATTCCTGGGGAATGTTAGATTCCCTGAGATAATGTGAACCAAACATAGAAATGTGAGCTTTGGAATGTCATATTCCCTTGGTTATGTTATATAACCTGAACCAAACGCCACCTTAGGGTCCGGCCACCACGCTCCGACCCAATAGAGCATGCATTTGGGAGAATGCATGTTTAATTTAATGTCGATTCAACTGAATTCTTAAAAGGTTGAATTCTCAACCTTGTCCACCACGCTCCGGCCCAACAGAGTCCCTGGGAGAATGCAGGTGAACACAGAGATAGCCCCCTCACTTTGAGATGTTGCTCCCACATTGTCACTGGTGAGACTCAACCTCGGGTCATTGTTTTCAAACTTTATCCCTATGATTAATTGATCTGTTCATGTGGGCTATAAGTTTCTTTTTTAACTTATTGTAGTGGTGATCAGCTCAACAAATTATATTATAGAAAATGAATAATTTTTATTTTTTATTTTTTGAAAACTAAAGTAATAGAATATATTAGATCAGCAAATGGTTCAAGAACGGTAAAGAAACATCCATCCAAACAGAACGAGTAGGTGAGTAGTGCTATAAATATTTATTTTTAATATACCACATATTTATTTTTAATGCATTAAAAGCTTATTCTTTGGTAGTATAATTAAAAATTAATTTTCAATACATAAAAATAATATTCAATATACTAAAAATAAATATTACATAAATTGTACATCTATGAATTATGATCAATGGTATAATGATTGAATTAGTTCATAAATAGTAAATAAATATACTCCGTAAAATATTGTATTTTCACATCAAGAGGTAAAAACACATAATAATGTCATGTAATATTATAAAATTATTTTTACTAATATTTAATTGTAATTCATGCATTTGCTATATTTGTGTTTGTCTTGTTGTATGAAAATTTCTCCGTATAATCCAAAACGTGATGGCTACATTTGGTGTTGGACCGTATTTGGAGCGTCAGACTGCATCGGTCTATTCATATTATTGTCTTTTTTCAAGTCGTTTGGTACATGATTAGATTAATTAATTTCTAAGTTTTCCAATTAAATCATTATCTATTTGTAGTTTGTCTAGTCTAAGGATATATAAGTAAGGATGACAATTTTAATTCGTCCCGTGGATATTCATCTAAATTTGTTCATATTGATAAATTTAATTAATTCAGATAGCTCGAACTAATAAATCTAATAATATTAGAAATAAAAAAATAAAGATAATTAAGGGTGTGTTTGGAAACCCGGAAAATGACTTCTGGAAGTCATTTTTCGGGGTTTTGGTGTTTGGTTACATTGGAAAATGACTGGTCAAAGGAAAATGGGGTGGAAGTCAATGGAAAAGGAAGGCAATTTTATGGAAAATGACTTCCCCTTTTTTTTGGGGGAAGTCATTTTCCAACTTTTACACCAACATCATCAACACCATACCACCACCACCACCACCACTACCAACATACCACCGTCGCCGCCATCTCCACCATACCACCGCCACCACCACCACCATACCACCGTTGTCACACCACCACCATCACACCACCGCCGCCGCCACCACTACCACCATACCACCGCAACCACCGTCGCCACCACTACCGTCGCCGCCACTACCACCATACCACCGCAATCACCGTCGCCGCCATCACCACCATACCACCGCCCCCACCACCACCATACCATCGCACCCACCGCCGCCGCCACCACCACCATACCACCGCAACCACCGTCGCCGCCACCACTACCGTCATACCACCGCCGCCGCCACCACCACCATACCACCGCCGCCACCACCACACCACCGCCACCACCACACCACCGCCACCGCCACCACCACTACCACCATACCACCGCAACCACCGTCGCCGCCACCACTACCGTCATACCACCGCTGCCGCCACCACCACCATACCACCGCCACCACTACCACACCACCGCCGCCACCGCCACCACCACCATACCACCGCCACCACCACCACACCACCGCCGCCACCACCACCACCATACCACCGCAACCACCACCACCACTACCACCACCATACCACCGCAACCACCGTCGCCGCCACCACTACCACCATACCACCGCCGCCGCCGCCACCACCATACCACCGTCGCCGCCACCACCACCACCACCACACCATCGTCATACTACCACCACCATCACACCACCACCAATTATTATTATTATTATTATTATTATTATTATTATTATTATTATTATTATTATTATTATTATTATTATTATTATTATTATTATTATTATTATTATTATTATTATTATTATTATTATATAACGAATAACACCACTACCACTACACCACCACCACCATAATATTTTTGATATATTATTAGTTTTTTTTTTTTTGTTGAAAAACTTAGCTATTTTTTATTATATTTAAAATTAATATTATATTATTATATATTATTATACATGTTGTAATATTCTAAATAAAATAATTAAAATGTTTAATTATACAATTCTACTCATTTTTCAGAAAATGAACCAAACACACAAAAACAGTTTTCCAGAATGCAACCAAACACCGGAAAGGAAAATGTTTTCCGGAAAATGACTCATTTTCCAGAAAACATTTTCCAGAAGTCATTTTCCTGGTTTCCAAACGGACCCTAAAAGGAAAAGACAATGAATATATATCGCGGGGACAATTCTTGTGGGAAAATTACAAAGAGTTGTAATAATAAAA